CATAGATTGTATGTTCCCAAAGTACTGTGTGTAACACAATCAAGAAGAAGCATTGTTATCAGAGTGGCGTTTTCTGGTTTTCAAAAAAATTATAATTTTGGCTCCAAAAATCAAAGTAACAATGTTTGAGCATGTTCGTTGTCAGAGCTCCATTTTCAACATAACACACACACTGTAAAAATAACTGATGTGTGCTAACATCATCAAGCTATGCTGAAAACATTCCCCATGTTCCTCTTACATTTAATGAGTAGTTGTTTAGTAGCCATCTTCTTTCTCAGATGTCAGACTTTCCAACCAGTTCAAGAGCACAAAATGACAAAACTCATTTAAGGACTACAACTCCCATCAGTATCTGATTAGTATTTTCCAGCTTAAGCCTGCTGGTTTCTATGATTGTTGTATCCCAGTTTTCCGTTCTGCCACATTCTCTGCTTCTTTGTGTACAGGTAGCCATGGCAACTGAAGGAGATGAAATGATTTTGGAATTGGAGCTGATAAATATTCAGCAGCAGTGGACTTTCTAAAAATGCTGTGATATCGCAAATGATGTACATGCAGGGAAAAAATACGATGCTACCCAGCAGTCCAATCAGAGGGCTTACAGTTGCGTTGTTTTGATGCGTAGTTACATTTTTGAGGAGGTGCATGTCAGACTATACTTATGAAGGCTGCTTCAGAGGCTGCAGAGCTACGAGTACCTAAAGCGTAGATTTGACGCAGAAGTATAAATCAGACTTTACTTCACTAGGGCTTTTACTTAAAGGCTTTATATGTGATTTTTTGATCCAGCAGATGTCGCCCTTGAGCACCAGCATGAAACCAAAACAACTGCGCTGCATTGTTGTGTTAGCATGCTAATGCTAGCGATCTTTATTATGCTGGTATCTTCACACTGCATGTAAATTGACCTGAAATGAGCGTGATCTAGAAACACAGTTAAGCAGTGAGTACAGTATGTTATTCTTCTTTTCTCTAGTCCCTCAATTAAACAACTTTTATACACGAGGGGAGGAGTCAGCCGGCCGTCCGGGCGATGTAAACACACTGAAGATAGGACTCTGAAAACTGTGAAAACATCACAGACAGTGGGACTCGGGTGTTACACCCATTGTAGACAGTCATGACTCACAGAGTTATTTTCAGAGGAGATACTTGATTTCTACATTTAAGTGTGAAAAATCACAGATAAAGACTTTAAGAAGAATTGGAAAAGATGCTGATGACTTACTTTCGGTCAATCATGATGTCCTTTATTCTTTGCACATTTAAACATTTCTAATAGATCCCTTTAGAGATGTCTGGTATTTGCAGTGTGAAATAAAGAAAGTTTCAGGAGTCTTTTTCAGGTTGCTAATCAGATTGCATCATTAAATAAACCTCTATTGGCCTCTAGTGTGAAAAGCCACTCAAAGAGAAAAAACTACAGGGGAAAAAATTACTGAAACGCACCATTGTGGAAAGGTGCGTGTGTGTGTGTGTGTGTGTGTGTGTGTGTGTGTGTGTGTGTGTGTGTGTGTGTGTGCAGATGGGGAACATTGGAATGACTTCTGAAAAACAGAAACCAAAGAAAAGACGAGGAGACACAGGAGGATAAAGAGAAGGGATGGTGGGGGGGGGGGGTTAGGTTGTGTAGCTTCTTGAAGCAGCCTGGCCACACCCCCCATCTTCTCCCCCTGTTGTTGTTGTGTGGCAGATGGTGGCCAGTCATTAGGGTATTGTCACTCTCCTCTGACGGGCCACATAACCAGTGAGCACTGCTTGGCGGGGCAGGTGCAAAAAAAAAAAAAAAATCCTGAACCCCACCCCCCACCTCTACCTCTACCATCTGCTGATGTCTGTGTATATGTACGCACAGGGGAGAGGATAAAGTAGAAATGTATGTGTGTTTGGAGAGAGCAGTTTGGGGCCAACAAATGAAAGAATGGCACAGAGAGTTTGATGATGATCAATTTCATCAGAGAAGAAGAAACGAGGCTAAGACGACATTAGTGGGATGATAAAAAAAAAAAAGAAGTGTGTCGGAGAGGTGTGTTGTTAAACATTTTTTATATTTAAGACGGGACTGGGACTAAAAAGTTGTGAAATGAGTCTGTTTGGTAGCATGGCTTGTGCAGATTTTCTGGAAAGCCGTCTACAGCAATATCTACACCCTGACTCACTCACTGGTTCAAAGGTCATGAAACTGCCGGCATGGCCAGAAGGCATATACTGAAAGCTAAACAGCCCCCCCCCTCCCCCCCCACCTCCCCTGCTGCCCCATCACCTCCCCTCTCCCCTGCATGTCACGTCAGAGGCCAAAACCCCAAACAACAACAGTGAAAGCTACATCACCTAACGGACTCTTTCCTCCCAGAGACATGTGAAAACCTCTACACACACACAGACGGGGGGGGGGGGGGTGCTTACACATTTGCATGTTAGTGGAGCAGAGGAGCAAAGTCTTACCTCCCTCTCTCTCTCTCTCTCTCTCTCTCTCTCTCTGTCCTCCTCAAACACTGCATTAGCTTCAGAGGCCAAATGAGGACAGGTGATTTCCTAATCCACCACTTCAAATTGTTTCTCAGCGGGGAATGCAAACGGTTGGCTTCGAGAGAATGTGGTCGAGCCCGTCATCTCGTAGTAAACACTCTACTAGGCTCTCCTTTTTTTCTCACACACGCAACAGACGTGGATTTTTCTTCTTTTTTTTTTAATGACAATATCCATGTCTCGCCCAGTCACAAAAGCTGCTGGTTTGCATCCCTCATCAGGGCTGACTCATTCACTATTATGTGTAAGGATGTTAGTTTGTTTGTTTGTCAGGAGGGGCTTACATAACCAGGAGGCAGTAACAGAGGATCTGATCTCATTGCTTTCTGTGTTTCTTTTCTTCCTTTTACTCCCCCTCACTCTCCCTCCCTCCCTCCCTCCCTCCCTTCAGCAAACAGCTCAATACGTTAAAAAACAAAGCCAAGTCATCCATCCCCCTTTCTTTATTCCCCCACCTGTCTTCCTCTTCCTCACCCTGCTCAACAGAGGTACAAAAATTCAATATTTGGACCCCTTTCTTCTGGAAAAAACACAAAAGGCTCAAGACACAGCCAAGCGATGGGATAATAATTGTCGGCCTCACAATAGGTGCGAGGGTCTACATATGGGTGCTGCTTGCTCGTCGAAGAGTGGAACACAACAAAAGATAAGCGAGCACTCACTCTTTTCTAAAACCGTTTCTTTGTTTGTGAAGTTGCTCTCAGTTAATGAAAAAAGAATCCTTCAATCCAGAATCCTCCCCACCCCCTCCCCTCCCCAAAGTCCATCCCACCAGGTTAGAAAAACAAGTGAGTATTCACCTCTCCCAGCAACCTTTGCACACTACCCCACATTCCAGTCCTGAAACCCGGTACCTGACAATTGATAAACAACTGACTCACTTGTTTTTCTGGGGAACTTGATGACTCGCACCGAGCCCCACGCTGGCTGCGCTGGCAGTGTGAGACCCGGCTGAGTCGAGAGAGAGACATTTGTGAAATCACAAACAACGATTAACTCTTGTATTTCCCCCGTCAGCCTCATTACAACTCCTAACTCAGAATAATCCTGTCAGTATTTTCTTTTACAAACAACTTCTAAACCCAGTAAAAATGCTCGACCATTAAGTAATGCATGAAAAGCCCTCTGGAGCAACAGAGAACAAAAATGAGGTGAAAGGTAATATTCTGATAATCATCCTGACAAAGAGGCTCAGTCAAAAGCATTTCATGGATTTTTGACACACATACCAGCCTTGTAAAAAAAGCTACATAACACTGTGTTACAAAATAATACATCTTGTGTAGTGCTGCATGCGTCACTAAATCAAACTCCATGTTTTTTTTTAAATACTGACGTGTATAAAACTGCGTCACTGAGGGGAAGACCAGAGGAGACCATTCACACAAACACACAGCCGCAGCATCAAGCCGGACAGAATTAAAAAAAAGGAACAAATCCAGACAGAGTTTCAAAATAAAACTTTCAAAATAAAGCAAAAATATTTTAAATAAATATTTTTATATGTCAAGTATGGGTGAAATACAGCTGCTGTTTTATTTTTTGAGAATGAGAATTACTGTACATAGATTTTTTATTTTTTTGGTTTAATAAGTGTTAAAGCTTTCAGTTGTTTTTGTTTTTATTTAGAAAGAGACACGCTCGTTTTCTGGTGCTGCTGCTATATGAATGCTAGGTCAAAGAGCAAACCAAAAGCCCTTCTCAGCATCTCGAAGCCTTGAGATTTGTCCATGTGTCATGGGCGTGACGAGTAGGTGACTAATCCTATCTAAACATCGCAGCCTACACCCAACAGCAACTTTCATAACAACTTCCCTCTGCTCCAGCAGCACTGCGTTTACACACTGACAAACTGCACGGCCCGACACACACACACATGTCAGTATGTAGCCACTGGTCAAATAACAATGTTTTCTGTATTGAAATGAAAAAACAACCTCCAACACTGCAGGGTTTTTTTAAATTACATGTTAAGTTACACATTTGGTCAGTACTATTAGCCTTAATTTGAAAGGCAAGAAAATGTGACCTCCTAAGAAACAGTATAATGGAAAATCCAGGCACAAATAAAACTACAATGTGATAATACAGACGTCCAAGAAGAAAAAAAACAACAACAACAACACACTTTTAACCAGCTGTCATAGGATACAAAGTCCAGTCAGAGTTATAAAAAAGCTAAGCTAAGCTAACTGACAAACAAATTAAGCTTGATTGTTCCTTTTATCTTTTCCTAAGGACAAACATTATTTTCCACTTTGGAAGTAAAAACCAGCTCAGACCTGCTGCTTAGCAACCAGCAGCCTATCTCTGCAGAGTATACAGCAGCACCCTAAGGCGGATCTCTATCCTACTCGAGCACCACTCCCTTCATGAATGAAAACCAGAATGAATGAGTGTGTGTGTGTGTGTGTGTGTGTGTGTGTGTGTGTGTGTGTGTGTGTGTGTGTGTGTGTGAAAACACTCACCTTTGACAGCAGCAGCAGTCTCCTTGAACCCGAGGCTGGCATAGGGGCTCGTGTTAAAACCATTCATGCCCCCCTTGCAGCCACAGGCGGTCTTGAACCTCAGGAGTCCGTCGGAGTCCCCTATCCTGCACCCTCCGAGGTTTCCCTCCATCAAGTTTAAGGCAATGTAGTTAAGTCCGTTTTGATAACCGGCCGACATCTCCCTGCACATGGGGCTGTTGCTGCCGTAGTCCTCGTCCGGCCCCTCGGTGCTGCAGACGGTGCGGGAAACGTTCTCCACGGAGGCCGAGCTGTGCCGCTTGGTGTCGTGGGCGAAGGACGGGCACACGGGGGTGACGGTGGTGGTGGAGGAGAAGGTCTCGGAGCTGTGCCGCCGCCGCCCCTGGGGGTCGGCCCGGATCACTTTGGCCCCTCTGTGCGGGTCCACGAGGGTGACTGATAATGAAGGCCCCGCGAGTAGGAATGAGTCCAACGGCGGCACAGGTGGAACCCCGTTGACGATGATGCTACTCTCCAGGCTGAGTCTCTTGACACCCATGGTGGGGCTGGTGGGGAGGGGGGCGGCGTCGGTGGTGCAGAGAGCAGGTAGGGGTGCAGGAGGGCTGAAAGTCATCTCGGTGTAGTCATCCTTGACTGCAGCCGGCTGACACACCAGGCTCACCTGCTGCTGGAGTGGATACTCCTCTCCCATCCCCCTCTCTACCTCTATGCTCTTTTCCTCTTTTTCTTCTACGTTCTGCTGGGCGCTCACAAGACCGGGGCAAGTCAAGACCTCAGGCGTGCACTTAAGGCTCCCCGTGGAGGGGGAACCCCCGGTTTGACTCGAGGAGCTGACGTCCACATTAGCATAGTCTGAGAGAGGTGAGGACGCCCCCTCTGCACACACCAAGCTCTCTGACACCGCAGATGACAGCTGGTGGTGGGCGGCACTACCAAAGTCTATGTTGATGTACTCTCCAGGGCTGCGTGGCTCCGAGGGAAGGGGGTGCTCGCTCATGCACGGCAGAGTCCGTAAAGATTCCAGCGCCAGGCGAGTGGGGCGACCCACCCTGCACCGATGTACCAGACCTCCGTCCACCCGAGTCGCCCTGTGGGGGAACGGCGCAGAGGAGGGGGTGTTCGGTGTCACCGGAGACTTGTCGGCCTCAGGGTCTCCTGGGGAAACGGGGCAGTAGTTGGACTCTTCTTCTATCCGCTGTCTCTGTAAACTCATCACCACATACTGGTCTGTGTCCGTGGACCCGCTGCGCTGCAACTGGCCTTTGAGCAAGCGCGGCAGAGAGCTGTGAGAATAAGGCTGTCGGTGAGGCTGCTGGAGGTGGGGGTCTCCTCCTGGGGGGCTGAGGATGAAGTCCGGGGGCGTGAGGACACAAGGGAGTCGACGGGAGACATGTTCAGGTACTCTCCGTTGGTGAGCTTTCCATCGGTGCTCTCCACCGACATCTTGGCTCCACACCACATCCGCATATAACCGCTATCCTCCAAGGAGACACTAACGGGGGAGTCGGTGCGCGGGGCCAGCCCGGCCGAGGAGGAGTGCGACCTGGGGTTGATGATCTGCTTCGGTGCGGAGACACACATGGGGCTCATGGGCATGTACGGGTCATCCTTGGATCCTGGCGTCTGAGGAGCCACGCCTGGCATCATGGGCATGTAGCCGCCGTCTCCTTTAGCATTGTTAGCGCTGATCGGCACGTCCCTGTAGTCGTCGGGGTAGATCCCTTTAGGGGAGGCGGTGAGACACCTGCGAGAAGAATGGCTTCCACTGTTGTAGGTCGCCCTCATAAGGGTGTACTCGTCCAGGGAGGCCGAGGATACCTGAGGGGGACCTCGCTGCTGCCGGGGAGTAGTAAGGGAGTACGTGCGCTTCCGGTATGCCTTTTCCAGTTCCGGTAACCGACGGTAACCGTTCTGCTTCTGCCGCTCCATCACCATGTAGCCATCGAGCTCGCTGCCGTCCCGGGAGGGCGGGGTGTCCGCTTTGAGAGACTCTGGAGTGTTGCTCCGCATGGTGAGCGGTAGTCTCAGGTCCCGTGCGTCCGCGGGACTGGAGCCGTACTCCTCGCACGATATGAAACCGGCGTCGCTGGGGGAGGCCGAGAAGGAGGCGCTGCAGCTGGAGGGGCGAGGGGCGCCGCCGTCCGGGCACGAAGACAGATTCCCCAGGCTAGGGGCGGCCATGGGAGGGGAATGAGACAGGGACATGGACATGGACTTACTGTGCTGGAGGGAAGAAGATTCAAATGTCCGACAAGGGCGAGCTGTAATGGTGTGAGACCGGCTCAGGAGGGTCCTGTGCACCCCCGGGCTTAGGGGGCTGTCAGTCACCGATATGGGGCGCGTCATGGTGCCATCGCCCTCGCTGGCTGTGCGTATCCGACAGGAGGAGAATTTGCTCACAGGAGAGGTCGCAGCCATGCTGTCAGTGCGAGACCGCCGGGGAAGCCCCGTCTGACTTGGGGGGAGGTGGTTCAGGTGCCTCCGCGTCGGCACAGAGATGGGGTTCGTACCGGATGACTGGCTTTTGCTGCGCGGACGGAACTCCGACAGCTCCTTCATGGCTTTCATCGCCTCCAATATAGTTTCGTGTATATTCTGCGCCACCACGGAGTCGTCCGCCTGCATCCATAACTCCCCCGGTCCCGTGGCTGCAGACCGACCAACCTCGATGAAGAAAAAGCTGTCAGAGTGGCCGCACCTCCGGATATTCATCAGCTGTAAAATGACGGAGGCGATCTCCGTGTTGAGCTTCACAAAGCTGATAGTCCGACTGGAAAGACAGAGTCTGTACACCCCGGTCAAATTCCTGCTTTGCCCCAGGCCTTTAGATTTCAGAATGACTTGCCATACCTCTTTATAGGCGGCGGAAACCGGCGTTATTACCCCGTAGCTCGCTTCGTCGAAGCCAACAAGCGAGGAGGCAGAGTTGGACGCCGAGCCGTCGCACACTTTCCCCTCTCCCATTAGATCCGTCAGCTCCCGGTACCAACTCTCCTGCTCCTGCTCGTTGTCTGCAGCCACGGCGAAATACTCATCCTTGGTGTAAAGAGCGATTAGGAATTTGTGTTTTGCGTCCGCTCTCTTGTTGATATTGAGGCAGCAGTCCAGAGGAATAACTCTCTTCGCGGCTGATTTGTTTTTCCATTTCTTCTCGCTCTCGTAGTACTCCAGACGCGCAGGGAAACCTTCGCACTGCTCCTTTAAAACGAAAAAGCGCTTGTGTCCGTGTTTCTGCTTCTTCAGATACCCGCATTTCTTGATATTGTTTGTATTGCTGGGTAATAACGGCTGCTCTCCCGTGTTTGGCGGACTCGCCATCCTCGTCCTTCGTCGCTCTCAGACACAATGCTTTCCCCCTTTCCCTTCGAGTTGCTGAAGAAAAACGACGCGCTTTTCTTTTTTCTTTTAATCCTCTATTTTCCAGAGAGCCGGTTGAGCGTACGCGTTCGTCTTCTTCCAAAGCTGGCCAATAAATAACACATGTCGGCTAAAGTCTCCGTAACCGAGGAGGAGGAGGAGGAGAGGGGGGGGAACCAAACATGTGACGATCTACACATCCAGAGCTCGTTTAAAAAAAAAAAAGAAACGAGGGGGGGGGAAGGAGAAGGAAAAAAAAAATACACACACCGACAGTGGGCGGTGCGCACCCAGCTCATTGGGCTTATTGGTGGAAACGGCATGAATGCTAGAGTGAGATGGCCCTGTTCAAAGAGAGAGAGAGAGAGAGAGAGAGAGAGAGAAGGAAATAAATCCCTCCTACTATAACTCTGCCCTCTCCCGTCTCTTTTGAGCGTAGTCGTTCAGGACTTTATTTAGAGCAGCATGGTCCTGTGATCCCACAATGACTAGTGATACCTTTTTTTTTTCCTATTATCTAAATATACCAAACAAGATGTTATAATCTAACCCAAAAAACCCAGAATTTGCGTCATTTAAGAATTTGAGGTGGATTATAAAATACATTACAATAAATAGTGACCTAAATGTGTGTGGTCCCCCTCATTTTATTAATTAATAAACATTTTTTTGTGTCTTTCATCGACGTTTTATATAACATTTTGCCATGTCAGAGCTTGTCTGTAGAGGCAGTCCGTCCCTACAACTAGTAAACACCTCATAGTCGAGACTGCAGCTCTGTCACTATTTAATATTCCCTCTGCGTCGCCTTACAGGAATACAGTCAGGGTATCAATTGGATATTCTAGCCTTGCTTTCCTTTTTGGTTGTAGTGAAAGTACCAAAGTATTCATGATAAACAAGTAGTATGCAGGCTGTAGCTACACAACACACAGGGAAGGGCAGACATAGTGCAGTGTGCTTTATTGCGTAACACGCTCGCCTACTGCTTTATTCATGTTTGCCAGCAGCTCCTGGGATAGCTCTGCTCAGCTACAGACTATATTTGTCTTTCCCATTCAGAAAGAGCACGACGACGCGACAGATATGAATCCGGATGTGGAAGTGTCTCCAAAACGTTTAAGGTGGGAGTGGTGGCTGAAACTTAATGCACAAACAAAAATACCAACCCCTCTTTTTTTGAGCAAAAACAGAGGAATGAGGGAATGACCCATATAAGGCTGGAATGAAAAACAAAAAACCCCTCTGATCATGATGATGACGTAAAATATCTTCAGATCGGAGTGCGTCAGTAGCTGGTTCGTGTGCGTAATGATGAAACGTTTGAGCCAACTGGGTACCGTGGTGTGTGTGGAAGATGATGAAAGTTTTGTACACTGACAGCAGACTGAAACAGGAGAGGCTGGCTGGCTCCTGCTTCCTGAGGGGAATAATATGGGATTCACCTCCTCCCTGCTCCTCAGGAAGAGGAGGTGGATAGCAGATTAGATGAAGTAAACAGACTGTCATAGAAATCAAACTTAGTCAGGACAAGTGAATAATTGGGGATTAATCTAAATTTCCAAAGCAACTCAACTCACCTTAACCTGGAAGCCATTTTTTCTTTACCTTCGTGTTCAACTCTGAAGCTATTCAAAAGTACACTCAGTTCACTGCACTGCACATACTGCACATTTCAAGTTTACTTTTTCTTAAAATGTTATTCTATTTACCATTTTGTTTTGTACCTTTTGCACTATTTAGAATGTATTACTGTAAATATTATTTATCTTATTTTACCTATTTATTTTATCTATTTTACCTTATTTTGGTTGTATTGCACCGCGGGACGGAGACAAACACAATTTCGATTCCACTGTATGTCTGACATATTTTGAAATTGACAGTAAAGTTGACTTTGACTTTGATGTTGACGTTCAGATATTTTAACAGTGTTTCACGAGCTTACATAGCTACTCTATTCCAGGTCTCAGGTTAGGTTATGGTTTTAGGTCATTGAAGTGTATTATATTTGACAACAATTGACATTTTACTTGATTAGCTAATGAAAATCGCTTGATAGTCAACATTTAGAGTTATCCGGGTACTTTTCAAGGCAAAACAACATGCTTCTATTTCTATTATCTAAATATACCAAACAAAACAACATGGTACGTAGGTTCAGTGCACTGACAATGGATAGGCCTACTGTTAGCATTTAGCCTCATCCTAGCTAACACTGATTTAGAAATTCCTTGATAACATTACCTATGCTATGTATTTCTGCCTTTTCCATTTTATTGTCACCGCTACCAAATTGTAGGCTAGCCTTTAGCGTCTTCCTAGCTAACAGTTAGATTATTTAGTAGGCTAACAGCTTAATGCTAACATTAGTTGTTGTTTGACTATTGCTGATTCGTCATCAAATGTTGTTTCAGCTTGAAATATGTCTAGACTTACCCCGTGGATTTTCACTGTGCATTGTCTTTAAAGTTGCTGATGAATCGAAAAGCAGTCAAATGAATATGTCTGACTAATACTGATATAAAACTCTAAACACAACATTATAGTTCTATCATAAAGTCATTTAATACCACCCTGACCTGTATAGATGACCTCTGTGCAAATGGTCAATGTAGCTGTCATATAACTGTAGTGGCAAATGTTAATATTCAAATATCCTGTGTTGAAAACGTGTTGAAAGGAGCCCCCTACCCCCCACCGTATCCTTCTTTTTCTTTACATCCACAGTGCTGGCTCAGCAACAAACCACCTCAGCAGCAAGGTCAATTACCATACCCGGTGCAGGTCAATTATGCCAACAGAAGCAATGATTTGACTTCTGCCACTGTGGAAAAAGGAATCAAATCAGGTAACAACCCCACACAACCTGTCCCTCAAATAACCTTTAGCTTACATATTCAGCCCAGGGGCAGAGATGAGTAGATTTTGTGTTCTGTGCTGTTGTTTTCTTTTCATTATTTGAGGGAGCCTTGCCTTAAGTGCTATAAAGGCATATTGATAAAAATAGAGCTGGCTGCCTGAACCTCCTCGGCTCAGATAGCTCCATGTAGGATAAAGGAGGGTTCCCTGTCTGTTGATATTATGTTTCCTACAGGACAGATATAAGCTCTCAGAAAACTAAACAACTACTGCAGAATGATTTTATAGTGAATGTAGAATTTACCATGTTTAGCTGCCTAAACCTGTAACAAATGATATAGACTCTTACTGGAACAGCGTTTTACATCTTTGACGACTGGCCTTGAATAACACCATGACCTGACTCTATCAAGAAACAGAAACTGAGTGGGGGTAGTGTGAAGCAAAAACAGGGGCTGAAGGAGTGAATCTTTCTTTTTTTTTGCATAACCCATGAAGCATAAAAAAATGCAAATCAGCCGTCTATAAAATACCAATAAGGTGGGCGATTGTCCCATAAACTGTGCGGCTCGCAAACACAATCTGCCTGTGTCTGTGACGCGTCCTTGGTCTTTTCTTAGGTAACTACATGAATATTTATCACCCTGTGATTTAAACAGCAGGGTGTATTAATTTACAAGTTAATTAAACGGCCAGCTGATTCTGATTTACAAGGCTTTAAATGGGCTCTCTCATCGTCTCCTGGTATGCACCCATTAGGCCCTTATAGGTTTATTTATTTAGGGAAGGAGAGAGGTGTTCCTTTAAGGCTGCATCGTCTCAAAGCACACTTGTCAGACTCGCTCTCCGGATTTATTTCCTTTTTCCAGTAAAAGCAATGTAATACTACAGTTTTATATGTGAGCAAATAATCAAACAGGGTCGAATAAGCAGTAAAATAGATTGTCTAAATTCACTCAGTAGCTTGTCACTTTGCACACTTAATCTCATTTAGGCTCTTAAGGCTGGCCTTTAAATACAAACAGCCTTGCTGGCTCCATTTGCTGAGTCACAAGCACATAATGCCTCAGTCACCCACCGCACTGTCACTGTGTGCGACGATTAGTTTCATAAGCTTTCAAAAAGCAGATTAGAATAGCCGATTTGATGAGATAAGATTAGGGACAAGCAGCAGGAGGGGGGGTAAAGATTAAGCCCAGTCATACTCCACTCACTGCTACATAAGGCCCCATCAAAAGAGCAGCACAAACATGTACTGTCGATGACCAAACATACCTCAATGTCTCCTTCCAACCTCTGCTTCATCTCATTAACCGAAGAAGGCAAAACAGATTAAAGCTGCAGCCTCGGGTGTGTGCTTCATATTGTTGTATCACTGTTGTTTTGATGTTTTGGATCTAAATATCATCCTGTTGTTATTAACTTTCTGAGCAGGGGATATTTATGTGTTTTTTTTTTTTCAGGGCTGTTGTTTTAGAGACCAGACAGATTGGATAGATTAACCTTTTTTATCAGAGGCCATTTACTCAGCTAACTCCATGTTGTGTCGGGTGTCCTTTTTAACAGCACAATGAAAATAAATAATGTTGTTTTGTCGACTTGTTGCTTAATTACAATTACTATTGCCTAAAGAAACAGCTGTTCAAGGTTGTTGAATACCCCCATCCCCACCCACCCCCCAAAAAAGAATATTTCTTATGTTTTATACTTCTTCAAACGGGAGCTTCTTGGTGTTCAGATCTTGTTTTGCTTCTCTTCACTTATACTCAGTGTTTGAAATAGTCTTACAATATCCCTCCAAAATCTACAATGAGTATCTTTGGGTTTCTGTCATTTGTGTTTGTTTTTAATAAGAGTGAGCGAGACCATTTTGGGGTCCAACTGACCCCAAACAGAAGTAATATTACAACACGCAGGATAGATAACTGAAGTTTTCTATTTCTGGGAAAATACTCATTTGAAAACAAATTCCATACTGTTCAGTCAAACAACCCATATCAAGTATTAGATATCAAATATTTCCTTATTTTCCTGCTTATGTTCGAGGTTTAAGTTTTGTTTTTGTTATGGTATCATTGTTTGAAATGGATTGAGTGTCAAAGGGAGGGGCTATGCTGTTCTACACATGACGTGGTTTTAATGGATGAAACGATAAAATAATATTTTGCCATTATTATTAGTATGTGAACAATATTGGGGTCTGTGAGCTCCTAACAGAGAGAAGGTTAAGCTAGTGTCAAAGGTTCAAACTACGCTGTGTGGAAAACATCACTCTTTTATTTCTGTTGGGATTTCTCATTAAAGCAGGAAGCGCTGAGCGGCTTCTTTTAAGCTTG